ACCACTGATTGGCTGATGGGCCCCAGCAGCCCAGCCCCTCACTGCTGACTGGCTGAGAAAGCTACCTTTTGTGTAGCCCCACCCCTCACCGCTACTTGGTGGAGAGGTGCAGGGCCATACAAAAGGCAGTCCTCTCAGCCAAACACCGGTGGAAGGAGGAGGGAGCAGCTGCCACCTGGGTTGCTTCCTTTCATGTCAGTAGCTTCTCACCCCTGCTGGGCTGCAAGGCCAGGCTGCAGTAGCTGCTGGCATCCACTGGGGAGCCAGCATTTTATTTTTAGTAAGGTGGGTTTTTTTGCAGTTTCTGTGAAAATTGCAAAATCACAATATGAGTATGTCCAGTATATATACAGAACATGAATTCCTTATTCCTTGAATTAAGCACAACACTTCCAAGTCATAAGCATACTCTACCATGTTGGGGAACTGAAGACAACTAATCAAACTGCATTTCACTACAGGGTACACATAATTCAGGATGTTGACACCATTTTTCCCCAGTAGTAAAACCCACACCAGGGAACTGAAGACAAGCATAAAATCATATTAAATTCACGGTTTAAAATGCAAGGAAATCCCAGATAAGGATAAGGTTGGATGTATGGAATCCATAAGCCAATTTAACACCATCAAATTCAGTTCAAAGAGCCTCTTGTGAAACATTGCTACATGCACAGGTAGGCACTCACTCAACACCCTTCTGAAGCCTCTACCTAACTATATCAATATTGCAAAACTAATTAGCTTGCTGTCATTAGTTGCTGGTTCCTCTCAGAGTATGGAGAAGGCACTACTTTTTTATGCAGCATAAATCCTTTAAGTTTTTGTGTGGTTAGTCTATCATTTTGGGAGGAGGCATGTCAAGTCACTTAAGGACTGACCAGACCTCAAAGAGCACTTGGTGTCCATGCATAACATGGAACCATTTCATCATGAACTTGTTCAAACTAGTCCTTGATTTTCTAGGTTGACTTTTGAAATCTTTCAGGTGGATTTAAATCAGCTTAACAGGTTTGTATATCTGCCCACCTCAGGTTTAATCCACATTTAAACTGTTCTAAGTGTTATGTACATCAATGACCTTAGTGTAGATCCTTTCTGGATCCTTCTTTAGGTCCCAGCAACATCAAATAGCATAAATAATTCATACAGGGGAAAGGTCATTATAGAGGAAAAGAGAAACCTCCCATTTAGCTCTTTCCTTCTGTGAATAGATTCAGCATGTCATTTTAAAGGCATTTTCTTTCTTCTACTGCATGTTTCAAAGTCTTTAGACTTCCTACAGTTTACCCTGAAAATGATTGTATTATACAATCATTTTTTGTGGAGTAACTGATGAAAATTATGTGATACTAGGAACTTAACTGTTGCATTCAGAATTCTATTCCGTAATACAATGAATTATGATTCTGTGATCTTTTAACATTCTGAACAATGAGGAAGGTGAGAGAAAAATATCACCTTTCTTTAACTGGTCCCTATGCAAATGAAAAGCAGAGTAGTCTACAGGGATTGAACATTTTCAGGACAACTTTAGATTGGTTCTGTTAAACTGCACTTCTCAGTCCATTGGTTTGTACATTATAATTACAGCTATACAGATGCCAAGCACATTCATTGAAACTCTAATTTACTCTAGGAGCTGGCAAATTGGTGCAGATAAACTGAGGAAATAACTTCAGCCCAAACCTGGAACTAAACTAGAGCCTTCTGCCAATTTTTGGATTGCTCTGGTTCCATTTTATTTTAAAAGCTTCTCAGCCTTTTGCACATCTCTCCAGCTGGTTGCAAGATAGTTTCCTTCCAGATCCATTATCATCAAAGAAAATCACTTAATTCCACCAGAATACTGCCAATATCTAAGGTGAGCATAACATAAAACTTCATGACTATTCTACAACAATGCAGTCTACAACAGTTAGAATGAAATGAAACTGGGGTACCTGACATTTGATCAGAATATTTCTAGCATGATTTTTGTCTGATCTTTGTCTTTTGTTGACTACAGTCTTATTCTCCAAATTCTGAATGGTAACAAGATGGCTTTTGCTTAAACTTAAGCACATGTTTAATTTCTTTGCTGCATCCAGGGTCAAGTACTAAGCATCTTACAACCTGGATCTATTATAAAGGAGAAAAAGACTGAGATGTATGTAACCACTTCACTGCAAATCAAGTGTGATAAAAGAATCAGAACTATTTTTTCTGTAAAGGCCAGGATTAAACAAAGTGTGGAGGAGGAAAGTTGTACCTGGTACCTCTGCTTCATGGGCTAGAACATGAATCCTTTGGTACAGTTTGGCCTGAGCTAGTTAAATCTTTGTAGAGAGGAGGGAGGTGGTCTGCAACTGGTCTGCCCTGTCTAGACATACATTCTTTGGCACCTGAAGAATGGCATACAAAATGTGGTAGCTCATACATTTACTCATCAACACTGCAGTTAAATAAGGATTGTCTCCTTCTCAGCTCAGTGGTAGTATTCAGAAGGTCTCTATGCCTTTTCTCCCCTCTGCTGCAGCAGCCATAAGAAACAGACTCAGCTCAGGGGGAGTAAAATTTTGGCAGGAAGATAAAGAACTAATCAAGTTGGGAGGAATATACCAACTTTCCAAATGGTGTTTGGGATATGAACTGGTAGTCCTACCCAAGATCCTCAGTCCAGTATCCATCAATATTATAATGGACTGACATTATGGCTATACAACCCAATTTTTCCAAGGCAGTTCTGAAGTACACCAGTTGAACAATTTAACTTTATATGCTTGCGCCATTTGTGCATTATGTAGAGTTTATTTCTAGAAACTGTCAAACTGGCATCTTTAATAACCACTAAAATTTCTTCTTCAAATATTTAAAGTGGGATGACATCTTGTTAAAAGCAAAGCACAGAACAACAATAGCATTTTAATAGACAACCAAATGAACTGCATTTAATGGCTGCATTCAAATGTAGCATTAACCTGCTTAACAGGCACTTTTCTATTTTTAAGTACTTTGACTTGCCTTGATAAATCAGATTTTTCTGAGCTTGAGCTAATTTGCCATTTTTGCATCAGAATGCCCTTCAGCCTTGAAAATCAGTAGTGATCCTATGACCGCTGTTCATTTTCTCAGACAGCTTGTAGATTTACATTCCCATTGATCCTCACAAGCCTGTATAGGTTTTAATTTTATGTTGAACACAGTTGTTGTCTCAGCTGGACAGAATTTTCCATACGTTTCTCATCCTGCATCATACATTTGGTCTTCAATCAGATTATGACAGGAATACGATTTTTATTTTTTAATTTCTTTTTGTCTTTGAAATAGTTAGCAGATCTCAGCTCTAACATGCATGCTGTTCAGAAACAATTTTGTGTCTGGTGGTAGTTCTACTTCAAGAAATAAAAAAAATCATCACCAGCTTTGGAATAGATTATAAATACAGTATATAACATGGATGTAGCATTACTTGGTCATGAAAACTCCAGTCACAATTTCAAGAGGAACAGAAAATGCTGTTAAGTCATACAGGAAACTTTGAGTTCCCTTGATTTTTGATTAGGTGGTACAAATAGATAAACACAATAAACATTGTCCTTCTGATTAATGTCCCCTACACTAAATCAATTCTTCTGTATCACATTGTAGATAAAGGGAAAAAAAATCTTATTTCATAAAAATCTTAGAGCATAGGTGTTTGATTTTTACAGTTCTTGCCATTTTAAATCACTGTTTTTTTACTTCTGATATCCCTTTATTTCTGGACAGAAAAAAATTGATTGATCAGTTCTTTTAGAACCCGTTTCAGTCTCAGGTCCTCATACCTATCTAATGCTGTTTAGGCCATCAACAGTGCAGGGCTATTTTTAAGTGAAGAGATTGGAACTAGGGAGGGGTTGGTTTTATTTTATTTTTTCAATAAATTTTCACAATGGATTTGTTAACTATTCCCGCAGTTCAACCTTATCTTGCCCTTGATCTCATATCCAGGAACATTAATTGGGCAGAGAAATAGTGCATAAGAACTTAGGGCACAGACAGAAGACAATTTTTGTCTGATCTGGCCACAGAAAACAGTCTATAGCTATGATCAAACAGAATTGCATGCATGGCTGCGGACCACTTCAAAAATGGCCAATCCAGCAAAAATCTGAAACCTCATTACGTGACAGAGTTCAGATGAAAACATTTCCAAACATAGCATCTTCTATAACTTGTGTCTGCTTGCCTGCCAGCCTCTCAGCTATTTTCAGAATGGGAGGGGGGAAAGGGAGCAAAGGGAGTTTGGTCTAGGGTTTTTTCAGCCCCTGTTGGAGTGGGGGACAAGTGTATTGGAGCCCCCTGACCCAAAGTTGGGGGGGCTCCAATTCACCCACTCCACCCTCCATCACCAGCTTGGGAATGCCTAGAATGAGCTCCCTCTGGTCCCTTTCCCCCCTCCAATTCTGAAAAGAGCCTGGGCTGAGAGTGAGGAGGTGCTGTTGCTAAGGGAAACCGACTGAAGGCTCAAAACCAGCAGCTAGATTCTCCTCCCCCCGGAACCAACAGTGAACTTCTGTTTGCCCCAGGAGATCAGTGCAACTCAGAACTCTTCCTGCAAAGTGTTACAGTTATAGTGGAGAGCTGCACTTCTGTCTGCACCATTTGTTTAGTTACAGATCCTACGATTTGTATGTAGCCCAGAGACGCTCTAGTTTCTAAGGACTGAAATCTTTGTTAGTGCCCTCAAAGACTTTTCTCACCCACAAGCTTCTTCATGCCTTTTCCCTATACTAATACGCTAAATATTAAATAATATAATAATTTAGTTGGCAGGGTATGTGATAGGTATAGGTACCTCCTATTTCTATGCATCACAGTTTTACATAAAGTCATCAACATATTTGTGAAAATTACACCTTTTATTCTGAAACTGGAAAATTCACTTCACACGTTAGTGGAGTTTGGAGATCTGCTTGGGAATTTTTGAACTAGGGCTAAAGGTCTCTAGGGGACACACACATTTTCTTGTCACTTACCTTTTTTTTGTTGGTGGGACAGATATAGAAATTGTCAATGACTGTGGCAATCCCAGGCTGCAAATTCAGCTTCGTATATAATGTCCCAAAATCTGATGACCTGAAAGAAATATTGAACATCTATGAATGTTTCTCAAAGGCTTCAGTATTTCAACCATCTCTGAAAATTACTTTGTAACACATGCATCTGTTTCGATACTTCCCTGCCAGTGGTTTTCTTCTATACAATGCACATTAAGTAGTGGATTGAACTTGCAGCTAAGCAATGTTCAAGGTTTAAGAAAAAACTGCTTGGCCACTCTGTATTTTCAAATTCTATCCAGTACTAAAACTGGTACTGACACTACATAATATGATTCAATGCCCCTATGAAACCAAAGGAACTGTGGAACTGTTTTGGCTTGAGTATACTTCTATCCCTGAGACAGGTATATTTACAACAATAATTTTAGAGCAAGTCATGAAACTGGATCTCAGTGTTGCAGTACAAGAGGCTTTCACTGCAGTACTAGTGGCCCCTTCTTATTTTTTTCCCCAAATGGGTAAAAGAACTAGGTCCTGACCACTATGTGCATATACAATTCCCAGCTAATTAATTAAAATAAACAGACCTCAGAGCTGTGTTTTCAATGGGAGAAGATCTTAATTTAGTTTTTGCCCGTGTAAATGAATGACTCTCAAAGTAAAATCAAATCTGAAATGTACAAATCTTGGACTACACCTTGTATGTAGGGACCTCCTGAATTCATGGCAGAGGTGGGGTATGTGGAAGCTCCTTTCATCTTGCGTGTTCCCCCATGCGTCCCTCCCCTCTGCTGTTGATTGGCAGGGAAGCAAAAGCTGCAGTTTTTGCCTCCCTACCTGTCAGCAGCAAGCAGCAGGGCCACCGTGGCCCCTCAGCCAATCAGTGGTGGGAGGAAAAAATGGCGCTATATTTAAAACTGCAGTTCTGACCTCCCCGCTGATTTGGAACAAGGTGCAAGCAGGGCCTCTCCACCAATCAGCGGCGGGGGGAGGAGGGACGGCGCAGAGAAACCTGCAAGATTAAAAAAGCCACAGTACACACACCACTTCCACCATGATATTGGTAGTCCCTATCCATATGTCTTACTCATGGCTACTTGTGCAGAAAGTGGCATAAGGGGCACAGAATGTGTGGTAGGATGAGGTCAGAGGTAATAATATAAAAGATCTGTTATACTTCTGTGATTTTTTTACTGATTGGGTGTATGCACAGAAGCACAGATCACAGGTACTGCCCCAATACATATATTTATATTATTTTGTGGGTAAATTGGAAGTTTATATTTTTACAGCAACATCTGCATGACTTTGTTCCATTTATTGTGTAATGTTGCATATACTACAGATATATTACAAATGCAGTCTTGACTATTTGGCTCTGACAAATAGTTATGTAGAAATCAAAAACACAGCAACTAAATAAATAAACCTGGATAAATGCATTAGGCGATAGGATGGACAAAACTAAACCTGTCATAATTTGGCTGAAGTGATGGGTAAAACTGAAAGCAATGTCTAGAACTCTGCTGGCATCAGGCAAGCATACTGAAATCACAGTTAACTTGAACTAGAGCAGCACACTACTATATTCTTCAGAGAAGGAAATGTCAGGCCTCTGACTTGCTCAGAGGTAAATTCATAAAAGAGTTCTCCGAACCTTAAAGATGACCCTTTGGATGAGTAATACCACAAGACTAACCAGGATTGCAATTGTATCAAGAAAAGAACAGAATCGTGCTGGCAGAGAAACACAAGGAAAGTTGCCTCTTTCAAAGATCAAAGATATCCATCACAAGATTCCTAGCGTGAGTCTCATTACTCAGAATGAGAACTGGGTGAAATGAATAATTTTTTAAGGGAGAGATGCCGAGGAGATGCTGGCAGCTGAGTTATTTCCAGACAAAAGCAAGACAATTGTAAATGGTCAAACCCCTTTATTGTCCAAGACAGGCTGGCTGTGAATAAAATTTAGAGAACACCAGAGAAGATTTGTCTAACAGATGTATGTAGATTTTTTCTAGCAGATTTTTCTACCTGCATCTCAGTGTCTTCATTGCATAGTTTAAAGAGGAGCAAGGAATGCCAATATGTTTGAGACTCTGACCAGTATCTGTATCTGTCAGGATGTTTGTACTGAATTAGAAGGCAAGGTGGATTTGCAACTTACAGGGAACATCTACATGAGATGCAAAACTGTGCAGTAACCTAGTTTACTGTGCAGTAAGCATGCATGCCTACACATGGCATGCTTACTGCACAGTAAAAATTGCTAATCATGAGTAAATTTGCTACCAGCAAATGCAAGCATTTTGAGCCCTGGGGCACACAAACAGGGAGCCTAAGGACACTCCAGGCTCCTTTGTTCCCCTGGGCAGGTTGCAGCCTAGCTGTGCCAGCCTGCCTGCACCATGGTGCCATCCTTGCCCATGCCCATGCTCACACCCATGCCCAACATCTGGGGCCTCAACTGGTTGCAGGAGGAGAATGGTAATCTTGTGCAGTGGAGCAGTGTGGAGGTGCAGCACCAGGTCATGTGGAGAGGGTGCTCCAACACCCATGTTGATGAAGGGCTGTCAGGCCAGAATTGGGAGCTCAGGGTCCTTTGCCAGTTGCACAGGTGCACCCAGAGCACCATGACAATTAACAGTAGCTGGGTGTAATGAGTCGGGCACCTCCTGGTCCACGCAAAAAGTTCCTTGCATACCACCTGCAACAAACAGCAGTGGCACACTTGGTGCACAGCATCAGCACAGCGGGGGGCTGGCCCCAGGGCACCTTCAAGGAGAGGACCCCTGTGGGGAGGACAGGAGTGCAGACAGCTCTTGATCCTAATCATCCAGGAGCCCTACAACCTTGAGCCAGGGCACTATGGGTTGGATAGTAGCACTGGAGAGTGGCTGGCCTGCAGGAGGAGGGTAGGGAGAGGGGTCTGGAGCTACAGCAGGTGCTACCAGAAGCCTGACCTCTCCTACCCTGGGAATGGCATGTAGGAGGCAGGCTGCTTATGGCCAGCACCTAGCAGCGCACCTGCCCCTGTGAAGTGAGTGGAGATGGGGGTGGGGTTCAGCCAGTAGCAGCTTGGGCCTGGCCCTGCTTGGATGACTTACCATGGTCCCTGGGCATGCCTGACCCCTGATCTGAAGGCAGGCAGAGCATGGTCACTGGTACAGAGCATCTTATCTCTGAAATGTTGCAAACTTCCATAAAAATCTTCTCTCTCATGGCTCTGCAGGCCCTGCAGCTGCACACTAGGGAGAGGACACAGTTGGCAGCTAGGATGAGGCCTCAGGGTTGTCACCACCCACAAGCAGGCCCCTGCACATACACCAGCTCTGCCAGAAGTGGATGCAGGACCACACCGTCCTCTTGGGCTGGCTTGGTGATAGCACTGGAGGACTGGCTGGTGGATGTACAGGCCTGGCGGGCAGAGGACATCACCCGCAGGGATGCACAGGACTGGCACAAGGAGCTGCAGAAGCAGGCAGACTAGTAGTTCTGGGTGCACCTCCTGGCCCTGGAGCACAAGTGGATGCAGGCGCTGAGGGAGCAGAATGCAATCCTGGCCTGGGCAGTGCAGGCCATGGATTACAACCACCAGATGCTGGACACCATTCTAGCCCTAGCAGTTGCCTTCATGCCACCCACTCCCTGGCTTCCGACTCTAGCCCTGCCTGCCCCCCGGATGGCAGTGCCCACTGCAGGGCTGCAGGAAGTGGCAGCAGTGTGGTACTAAGAGCAGCAAATCTGCTGCCAAGTCCCCGCATGTGTAGACACTTGCCCAGGAATGTTTACTTGCAGGTAGATTGATCTTGGATCAAATGCATGTGTAGGCACACCCACAGACTATTTAAACTAGATACATACATTTATGTAACAGGGAGCCAGTGCCTTCTGTTACTTGAAGGTATAGGCAGGGGCTCAGATGCAATGAGTGCCTATTGCAGGGTTAGCTGCCCAGCAATAGAACAATAGGATAGAGCCCTGCTTTGTGAGGAATACAAGCCAAGGTAGGGGGAAGTTTTGTCATACAGCCAGTGAGCTGGCATTTATGTTTGGACCCAGTGTGGAGATAGTTTGCATTATAGCCAGTGGATTTCCTCTTTTGTTGCAGTTTATATTGGTTTATATGAGGAAGGCTTAAAAAGTCCCTGACACATGTAGCAAAAAGGGGAGGAGGGGGCAACCAGCAAAGCGCAGAAGCATGGGAAATGCCCTTAGTAGAACACAGTTGTATAGTTCAGACAGAATTTCCTATAGCACCATTCCAGCAGTGGCCATTTGTGCGTGGCACAGAAAGGATCTATCTTGGCAGTAAAATGAGAAGACATGGAAAAGTGTGCACTTCCTGCTTAGAGAAGGACAGAGGTTATTCTGTCAGCAGAAGCAATAGCAGAAGAAGAACTGTACATTCATCCAGTAGTAATTAGATGTTGTTTTGCTATTGCTGAGCTTGTGCCAGTATCTTTACTCTCAGTATAAGCAGCAAGTTCTGCACAAGTCGTGTGTCAGCACTGCCAATGCAGCTATTCTAAAGGCTATGCAATGCATGTACACACGCATGATTTTTAGCAGAGCACAACTTCAGAAAATGGGTTTAAAGAATCAAAAGCTGTTTTTGATAAGTGTTATTTCTGCATTCCCATCATGTTTAATTTAAAGACACAGGCACAAAGATAAAGGGACTAGATCCACAGAATGGCATGATTACTCATGTACAAATAACAGCACGAACAAGTGCCTCTTTCTGACAGTTAGGTGCCTCTTTCTGAGAGTGTTAAGGAACGGCTGCTTTAAAAGTGTATGGTCTGCTGGAAAATGTGCCATTCTCCCTAACAGGTTTTGTTAAAGAAAAATCACCTATCCCTATAATAACACCATGTTGAAATAACACTTATCAAAAACAAACAATAGTATTATAGCAAGCACAGCACAGTGTATTTTTGACTCATTACAAGCATAGGGATGGGAGCTCAAGCAACACTAAGAATAGCTTCCACAAGGTCTACCCAAAGCATAGAGCTAAACAACTCTACCGTTTAGAGAAATCTTAATAACCCACTCTTTTTCTTGTTTTGG